AGATAGAACTACGCCATAAAATACAGAGCATCCATTTTATTTTTGTCGACGCAATAAAATATAATTCTATACGACCGTAAGTGGCTGCATACATCGAAGGAGTAATTTTTTTGTTGGCGTTTGTTTGGTTACCTATGTATATATTTAATTGTATGTATGGGGTCTACCAATAAGAACGTCCTGGTTTAAAAGTTGAATAAAACACACAATTTTTTATGAAAAATGCATCCGATTGATTTATTTGATAGAAAATTTTATGCAATTTATGTTTTAAATAATATATCGGCCAAATGACCGCCACGGCTCTTTTTGCAGACGGTCACCCGCTCTCGCCAATTTTCGATGACGCGGTGAACCATTTCGCGGCCGGTATGTCGGCTATGGCTCGTCGAATGTTGGTTTGTAGGTCACGAATTGTAGCTGGATTATTGCTGTACACTTTAGATTTAACGTAACCCCAAAGAAAATAGTCTAAAGGTGTTAACGGTGTGTACGGACCAATGATTCCACCGTACCATCAACCGCACCAAACTGTTATTTTTTTCTGATGCATTGGTGATTCATGAACCACACGTACATTTGACTCACTCCAATAGCGACAATTTTGTTTATTAACAAATCCATTGAGCTATAAATAGCCTCATCTGAGAAGATGATTTTACGATGAAAATCGTCATCGGCTTACATTATTTCCAGTGCATAATCGGCAAATTCACGACGGATACAATGGTCGGATGGCTTCAATTCTTGTGCCAAAACAATTTTGTATAGGTGTAGGCCCAAATTCAACCGCAAAATACGCCAGGTGGTGATTGAAGAGAGCCCCAACTCTTGTGAGCGGCGTTGAACTGATCGATTTGAATTCGCATCAACACTGGCCTGAACGGCTGCGATATTCTCTTCACTACGGGCATTTCTTTGTCTCACAGGCACAGCAGTATCGTGGAGAGTGAATTCACTTTCAAATTTTGTTATTATGCGATTTATAGCGCGCACAGAAGGAGCACAACCGTTTTTTGCGCGAAGTGCTCTTACTGTAGCGGTAGGAGAACGCGAATTTGCGTAATAATTTTGGACAATTTCCAAGCGTTGGTTTACATGATAAAATGGCAAACCTTACTGAACACAATTGTCAAGAGACGTCAAAGATCCATCATCAAACATGGCCGCTATGAGCTGTCAAAACCAGGTCATCCCTATTGGTAGACCCTGTATATAATTCTTTATATAAGTTTTTTTAAAACAAATAATAATACGACGTCCGATATATCATCTTTGGAATATGGGAATACACTAAGTAGACATAGTGCAGACATCTATAATTTTTGGAGATCTCCCCAAGAGATTAAAAATATTTTTTTTAAAGTTTGAATAACCTTGGTTCTCCAGGATACTTCATGATTATCGACAGCCTTTAATAGCCCACTGCTCGATATAGGGCTTTCTTTAGGAAAGAGTATTTGTTCTACAATACACCGCTGGCCCGACGGGTTGGTATAGGGTTTCCTCGACGGGAGGTGGCTCTTCGACGAGCACTTCCGACAGCTTGCTCCAAAGCTGGTCGGCGCTGCGTCTGCCCTAGGGCGACTTTTGCCCAATATGGGTGGACCCAGCGTCGCGACAAGACGGCTGTACACGGGGGTTGTCCGGTCAATGGCACTGTACGGTGCACCGGTGTGGGCGGCGGCTCTGACCGCCCAGAATAGGGCACGCCTCTGGCGCCCTCAGAGGGTAATGGCGGTCAGAGCCATACGCGGTTACCGCACCGTTTCGACGGAGGTGGCATGCGCGTTGGCCGGAACTCCCCCGTGGGATTTGGAGGCGGAAGTGCTCGCCGAAGTTTATCGGCGAGTGGCTGACTCCCGGGCGGAGAGCGGATTTCGCCCTCCGCCCGAGGATGTGCGCGAGTGGCGCGAAGCCGCTCGCCGAGCCACGATGGCTCGTTGGTCGTTCCGGCTGGAGACTCCACGCGCTGGCTTCGCCGCCGTGAAGGCTCTCCAGCCGGTCATCGCCGAGTGGGCAGGGCGGCAGCACGGGACCCTTTCCTTCCGGCTGACGCAGGTGCTTTCCGGGCACGGTTGCTTCGGAAAGTACCTGCACTCGGTCGCTAGGAGGGAACTGAGTCCCGCCTGCCACCACTGCGACTGCAGTGAGGACTCGGCCCAGCACACGCTGGCGGTCTGACCCGCATGGGCGGCGCAGCGCCGGGCCCTCACTGCAGTCATCGGAGTGGATCTCTCGCTACCGGCCGTAGTACGCTCCATGGCCGGTAGCGACAGTTGTTTTACCGAGTCCGACACACCACCCCGCCGCAAACCCCGGAGGGGTGACGGTCCGAGGGGATTTCCACACGTTAAAAAAAAAAAAAGAAGGGTTTGTTTCAAGTTTTCCTTCTCTTCGCAATGCTGTTGCCTTGCAGAGTTTGCTCCCTTAGTCTACTCATACGAGACTCATGGGATGAATAGGAATAGTGACACTCCGTGTTCTTAATCTGTCAGCAAGCGGAAAACAAACAAGATGTTTACATTTTCAAAATTGAAAGACTGAAGCTCTAAGTGTTTGACTATTAAACCTGTATGACGGTCGACGGACAGACAGGCGTCGAGTGATAGCAAGCAATAGGGCTCCGTTTGGACTCTTGGGGAAGGGAATCCCAAAAACATAATATCGAGGTCATCTTTTAAATTTTCTGTTTCAATTTAAAGTTCCGTAAACTGCGAGCGGAGGTATCTGGATATAATAATTTAAAGATAAACTGAGTAAGGCCCTGGGAGATCCCGTTTGGCCGGTACAGAGAAATGTAATTTTTCTCATTTCAGCTAACGAGCAAACACGTCGACGTTGACGTCATCTCATTAGTTTAGTTTAGCCGGAGAAAACTATATTCAAAAAATTTAAAAATGAAAAAAAAATTGTTATACCTATTATAATCTCATCTAGGTATTCCTCCTTACCTATAATCCTATATCTATATTATATCTGTGTATGAAAAAATAAATCTCGGAAATATATTCCACACTTCGCTGTGAGATATTGTAATTGCTGACCCAAAAAATAGAAAGTAACCATCCTTGAAGCGGTTTGTACATAGTGTTAAAATTTGGGCTCAATCGGTGCAGAATTTATTGAGTTTTTGAAACCAACTTAACATTTATATAAATAAATATATATATATATATATATATAGATTTCTTCTTGTTTTAAACGTATGTAGTATTGTCATTAGGCAAGGACTCCACCAAAGCGAAGACGAAAAGAGAGGTTTTTTAGCTAGGGTACTGGCTAGATTGGAGCGGCGATGTATGGTGTCTAGGGCGGAGCGGAACTGAGCTGCGTTCGGCGATCGTTACATGTGAACACACGGGCGCGGGAGTATCTAGCGGCGCCGCTCACTGCACTGCCCACATCTTCTCTTCTATGCTGCGCACCGTTGCCAGCTTACGAGACACAGCTCTAAGCTCCGCTTCCATCGCGCCATTCAAATATGACACATTTCGGCTTTATGGTATCTACTGAAGCTGAGCGAATATGAGATTTGTGAATCATCATCATCATCAACAGCCTTTAACAGTCCACTGCTGGATATAGGCCTCTCCTTAGAGAGGAGGTTTTGGCCTACTATAACACGCGGGCCAGACGGGTTGGTATAGGGTTTGTGTCAAGTTTTCCTTCCTCCTTTAGATGAATAGGGGTGGTGATACTCTGTATTCTTAATCCGTCACCACACGGACCGGACACGGACGGATGTGTGAACAATTAAATTCAATTAATTGTTTAAAACACCAGTGGAGTCTGGGCCTTAGTAACGATTGATATTTTATTGGCACTTTTTATCATGTGCAAGTGTTATCAAGTATTAGGTTAAAGGCGCCATTACATGTTCATTTTTTATGAAAACAACGACGCTTAAACATTGAAATTGCTCTAAAAAAGTGTCAGTTTATTTATCTGTTCATCTACTATTGTTGATCCCTCAGGTAAGTTTAAAGGTGCTTTTGTGTGAATTTATCTTGATATTTTTCTTACTAAAAGCGATTATTATAAAAAACTCTTGCCCATTTATTTCGAATATCATTTAGATTTAGAATAGTCTGACAATTATGTTTAAGAACACCGACTTAAATCCGATTTTGGTTTTTACAAAAAGGGTGATTAACATGAAATACGGTGAAACTTTTGACAATTTCTATTTATTTTACAGTAATCAGAAAATTTGTAAATTACTTTTTAAACAATCTTACTTCAGAGACTACAATTTTATTTTCTAATTTACATACAATTAAGTAGAAAAATAACTTAAAAAGTAGTTAGTTAAAGTACTTGTGAAAAATATAAATTAGGAGTTTCTTTAACTTATTTTGATTGGTTTTTATTCCAGATTTCTTCCAAATTTGGCCTTTTTTCGGTATCTATTTCTTACTCTAGTTCTTTTTCTTTATCCCAATTAACTTTCTTACTTTGTATTTGGGATCAGTGTAATATGAAATATTGAAAAGCGTTGAAGTGGAGATATTGGATCACAGAGTATAAGTAATTAAGTATCAACCAAAGAAATAAAAACATCAATAATCTGTATTTATATTTCATGAATGTTATCATTTATTTGAAATTTTTAAAATGTCATCATCTGCCTATTCTCATCGCCATTTTATTTGTTAGTCGGCGAAGTAAGTGTGCTTGCTTCCATTCTACTCTATCATTCGTCATGCCTTCGTCTGTTTACTCCGTTCCTACCCATATCCTCACTTATAAAGTTCATCCTCCTTTTCTTTGGTCTTCCTCTTCTCTTGGCCCTTTAAAAGTCTATCAAAATACAATGTCTTAAATGGTATCTTTACCGTAATTATTATTTTATATATAAGACTGTATCATGTACTTTTATCCTTGTTAACAGTAAAACCTTTTCGAAACGTAATTGAAAATCTTACTATTACTACATTGAAGAAATGCCGATGTCTCCGATTTAAGCCGCAACAAATTCTCATCAACTTAGAATCATTATGGATGAAGATACATCTAAGATTGTTAGCAAAAACAATTTTAAAGGTAGGTAATTCAGTTCACTCATGTAGCTCTCTTTTTAAATGTTACAGAGAATAAAATCGAAGAATTTAATATCAGTACAATACCTTTAAACCGACATACTTAGTAGCTAAGTGCTGACAGTATTTTTTTTTACAACCTTATGCTATGATAACTGTCGCTCATGGTCACTCGCAACTGAAGAGTCACAAACGAGTGCAACTTTTCAATGGAACGCCACTGCACCTATGGCGTAGTGGTTTAAACGGTCACCTCGCCGCTTCCTGCTGCGCTTAGTGTTGTGAGTTTGATCCCCACATGGGACAACACTTTATGTGATCTACAAATTGTTGTTCTTAGTCTGGGTGTTCTTTGTGTCCGTTTCATGTATGTTTGTCCAGTCGCCCGCGACACAGGAATTTATTCCTAGTGCAGGAGTTGTCTTTAAAACCCTCACCGTTTACAATCTGGGTTTGGGCTTGGGAACTCGGGGAAGTATTAAAAAACCATGCGCTAATAGAGTCAAAGTTCAGATATAGTATACAACTGTGGGGAAATAGTTACGCTTATAATATAGAGAGGGCGTTCATTTTACAAAAAAGAGCTTTAAGAACTATTGTCCGCATTCCCCAAATAGAATCATGTCGAGAACATTTTAAAAATCTTGGACTGTTGACGGTGCCTTGTTTGTATATATTGACAACATTGTGTTACTTATCAAAATACATGCACGAGGTTGAAACCCACGAAGAGAGGTTGGTTAGAGAGAGCACGCGGAGGAAACATATTCAACATACAATAAACAATAGATTGAATATAGCTCGGCACTGTGTTCAGTATCAATCCATTAAACTTTTTAACTGTTTACCGGAAAGCATAAAAAGCGTAATTTATAGGACTTCTTTATTTAAACAAAAACTTGGAGCCTTCCTGTTGGAAAATAACTATTATTCCATCCATGAATTTATCAATCAAAATATATGCAATTAAATACTTAATAACTTATGTAATAATAATAAATATTGTGAATAATATTATTGAATCATGAAATGCCTTAATATAATTTATCGTTTTTTTTTTGTATTCTGCATGACATATTGTAAAATCTATCAAATTTATTTGTTTTTTGATTATTATGTTATTTATATTTTTGTTTTAATTTTTAAATATATTTGTATTACGGCGAATTGTTATACATTCAAACACAATTATATTATTGTTTGTGAATAAATGAACTATGAACTATGAACTATGACCAGAGGGGAACTGAGCTACGTTCGGCGAGCGTTACATGTGAACGCACGGGCGCGGGGGTATCTAGCGGCGCCGCTCACTGCACTGCCACATCTTCTCTTCTATGCTGCGCACCGTTGCCAGCTTACGAGGACACAGCTCTCAGCTCCGCTTCCATTGCGCCATACAAATATGACACATTTCGGCTTTATGGTATCCTACTGAAGCTGAGCGAATATGAGGTGTGTGAATCATCATCATCATCAACAGCCTTTAACAGTCCACTGCTGGATATAGGCCTCTCCTTAGAGAGGAGGTTTTGGCCTACTATACCACGCTGGCCAGACGGGTTGGTATAGGGTTTGTGTCAAGCTTTTCCTTCCTCCTTTAGGATGAATAGGGGTGGTGACACTCTGTATTCTTAATCCGTCACCACACGGACCGGACACGGACGGATGTGTGAACAATTAAATTCAATTAATTGTTTAATTAATTGAATTTAATTGTGTGCTGTTGTCCGTGTAGTGACGGATTAAGAATACGGAATGTCACTACCCCAATTCATCCCGTGGGTGTCGTAAGAGCCGACTAAGGGAGCAAAACAACGCAGGACACCAGCGCTACAAAAAGAAGGTAAACTTGACACAAACCCTATACCAACCCGTCTGGCCAGCGTGGTATAGTAGGCCAAAACCTCCTTTCTAAGGGGAGGCCTATGTCCAGGAGTGGACTATTAAAGGCTGTTGATGATTGATGATGTTGAATTGTTTAAAACACCAGTGGAGTCTGGGCCTTAGTAACGATTGATATTTTATTGGCACTTTTTATCATGTGCAAGTGTTATCAAGAATGAGGTTAAAGGAGCCATTACATGTTCATTTTTTATGAAAAAAAACGACGCTTAAACATTGAAATTGCTCTAAAAAAGTGTCAGTTTATTTATCCGTTCATCTACTATTGTTGATCCCTCAGGTAAGTTTAAAGGTGCTTTTGTGTGAATATATCTTGATATTTTTCTTACTAAAAGCGATTATTATAAAAAACTCTTGCCCATTTATTTCGAATATCATTTAGATTTAGAATAGTCTGACAATTATGTTTAAGAACACCGACTTAAATCCGATTTTGGTTTTTACAAAAAGGGTGATTAACATGAAATACGGTGAAACTTTTGACAATTTCTATTTATTTTACAGTAATCAGAAAATTTGTAAATTACTTTTTAAAGAATCTTACTTCAGAGACTACAATTTTATTTTCTAATTTACATACAATTAAGTAGAAAAATAACTTAAAAAGTAGTTAGTTAAAGTACTTGTGAAAAATATAAATTAGGAGTTTCTTTAACTTATTTTGATTGGTTTTTATTCCAGATTTCTTCCAAATTTGGCCTTTTTTCGGAATCTATTTCTTACTCTAGTTCTTTTTCTTTATCCCAATTAACTTTCTTACTTTGTATTTGGGATCAGTGTAATATGAAATATTGAAAAGCATTGAAGTGGAGATATTGGATCACAGAGTATAAGTAATTAAGTATCAACCAAAGAAATAAAAACATCAATAATCTGTATTTATATTTCATGAATGTTATCATTTATTTGAAATTTTTAAAATGTCATCATCTGCCTATTCTCATCGCCATTTTATTTGTTAGTCGGCGAAGTAAGTGTGCTTGCTTCCATTCTACTCTATCATTCGTCATGCCTTCGTCTGTTTACTCCCGTTCCTACCCATATCCTCACTTATAAAGTTCATCCTCCTTTTCTTTGGTCTTCCTCTTCTCTTGGCCTCTTTAAAAAGTCTCTCAACATACAATGTCTTAAATGGTATCTTTACCGTAATTATTATTTTATTATAAGACTGTATCATGTACTTTTATCCTTGTTAACAGTAAAACCTTTACGAAACGTAATTGAAAATCTTACTATTACTACATTGAAGAAATGCCGATGTCTCCGATTTAAGCCGCAACAAATTCTCATCACCTTAGAATCATTATGGATGAAGATACATCTAAGATTGTTAGCAAAAACAATTTTAAAGGTAAGTAATTCAGTTTACTCATGTAGCTCTCTTTTTAAATGTTACAGAGAATAAAATCAAATAATTTAATATCAGTACAATACCTTTAAACCGACATACTTAGTAGCTAAGTGCTGACAGTATTTTTTTTTACGACCTGATGCTATGATAACTGTCGCTCATGGTCACTCGCAACTGAAGAGTCACAAATGGGTGCCACCTTTCAACGGAACGCCACTACACCGATGGCGTAGTGAATTAAACGGTCACCTCGCCGCTTCCTGCTGCGCTGAGTGTTTTGGGTTCGATCCCCACATGGGACAACACTTTATGTGATCTACAAATTGTTGTTCTGAGTCTGGGTGTACTTTGTGTCCGTTTCATGTATGTTTGTCAAGTCTCCCGCGTGTGTAGTTCGTATCCTAGGTCAATTATGACTGGTTAATTGCATTGACTTACGAGTTTCATCGACTACAATTTTTAAAGACCTCAGACACAAGCATTCGCCGTTAATTGACACGAGACAAAAAGTATTGACAGACTGACAGACAATAAAAAACAAAGATATCTTTCATGAGTTATTGGAATATTTGATAAGGGTTCTTTTCCCTTTTGAACAGTTAACCTTCATCAATAACGTAGATGCTACCATAAACTCTTACTGATAGTGAGTTGGGCTTCATACCTATGATCTCAAAAAGTTCTTTAGATTATTAATGCATTATAAGTCAAGCTAATATTAGAAGTCGGTTTAAAATATTTCAGTAAATATATAAAATTATAATAACGACATAGTACTATAATATCAGTAAGTAAAATGCGTGGCGATCGACTTTACATTGTAAACGTGACAAACATGTTCCTTACGTTAATATTTTACGACCAAAGCTATGACAATGGCGTTGCTAAACATAAAATTAACGTATTATGCCATCTCACGATTACACAGTGAAGTCCAGTAGCCACAGAGAATATAATTAAAATCTCGGATTGCAATTCAGGATACGTGCCTGTGGGTTAAGTGGTTGGTGATATAATAATAATAATATTCTATCACATTTACACAACGCCATCTAGTCCCAAACTACGCAGAGCTTGTACTGTGGCTACTAGACAACTGATAAAAATACATTTATACTTTTTTGTAAATACATACATATTATACATAGAAACACCCAGACCAAATCAAACATTAAATGTCCATGCACACAAATGTTTGACTTGAGAGGTTATCGAACCCGCGACCTTTGGAATAGCAGTCCGTTACACAAACCACTACGCCATTAAGTTGTCTACTATGACTGTGAAGTCGGAGATCGTGGGTTTGATTCCGACACAGGATAAATTTTGTGTGATGAGCATGGTCATTTGTTCTATGTTTGGTGTAATTTATCTATAAAATATATAAGTATTTTTAACAGCAGTCTGGTACAAGCTCTTCCTAGTTTGGGATCAGACTGCAGAATGTGAGATATGTGAAATTATTACTATTTTCCAAATTATACCATCGCAAAAGATAATCACCTTAGCACTAATGTTAATGAAATAAAATACTGTCAAACAGAGATGCATATGTTGCATAGCACAAGCGATTATCAAAGTGCCGAGAAGCCATGAATGTCTGCCTTTTCAAGATTTTTACAACTGATTCGAAATTTGTCTTTAATCGAACCATGATTGATGAAAAATTCTCATTCTAGGTAGTGCTTCAGATTGATTTTCAATTACAGTGATTACTGAACATAATATTTATTTCTGCCATACTTGCCAAACATCCATTGTAGGGTGCCTGAAGTTCGGTGACAAATTTTCAATGAAAGTGATGTTTTTTAAACTTCTACCAAACGGTGTTCATAACCTGATGTTGTTCTTAGTTTTTCTTTAAAGACAAATCAAACTCTAGAATATGTCCTGTGTCGTGAGACATTTCACAAACATACATGAAACGGACACAAACAACACCCAGACCCAGAACAACAATTTGTAGATCACACAAAGTGGTGTAGGAAGCGGCGTGGCGACTGTTTAAACCACCACTTTATTTATGTGGGCAAACGAGCAGACAAGCTAACTGATGGAAAGTGACTACCGCTGCAAATGGACAACTGCAACTCAAGAGTCTTATCTGATGGCGTAGTGCTAGTTTATTTCTTTCACTTCTACTCGTCACGATGACCGCGTTCGAAGCTACCATTGGCCCGCACTGAAATCTCCATAAATAGCTAAACACATTCGCCATCGAGTGGGAGTCGATGTAAAATAAACTTGCATTCAGCCCTCAAGTCACCTGCTACTAGTTTGAATTAAAAAAATTAAATGTTAAGATGAAATGGCAGTAAGCTGGCCATATTAGCCGTAGAACCGACAACCATTTGGGTAAACGAGTTCTTGAGTGGAGATCGCATCTAGGCAAACGTAGTGTAAGACGCCCCCAGGCCCGGGGAGTGACGATCTGCGCAAGATGGCAGGAGGTGGATGCGAGAAGCTGATAATCGATCTAAGTGGCGTGCAATTCGAGAGGAAGTCCAGCTGTAGACTACGATAGGCTGATGATGATGATGATGAGAAACACACTTGTTATAATTATGATGATGTTTGTTTTTTATACTACAGATGCAGGTTGGGGCTACAGACATCAACAATGCTTCATTCTATTTTGTACCTATACCATCGCCTATAGCATGAAGTCATGTATGGGAGTTGCTGTGGTGGCAATGACAAAATACCCTCATAATGAAAACAACACTACAGATTTTAAAGAACAAAACACGACTACCGAATTTAGACCAGAAGGCTTTTTAAATGCTTTAATATTAGTTCCTCCGGTAAGTGTACCTCCTTACATAGTAATAAATCATCATGAGAACATGATCAAGACTAACCAAAACCAAGTGCAATTAATAATTAAATTAAATTTAATATAATAATTATTTTAATAATAACCTTTAGAGTTAGGGTTAATAACATTTAATTTTTGGAATATTAAATTAAGGTATTTTAGATTAAAATTGTGTGCAAGTAGCACACAATTTTATTCTAAAAGCCGAATAATGTCACCCCAAAGTTCATAATTTAATAATGCCTCTAAGAAATACACCTTTTTTTCTTTTTTTTTCCGTGCGGAAATCCCCTCGGATACCACCTGTCGGTGGCATGTCGGACTCGAACCGACTAAAACCGCACGCCGTCGCCGGGTACTAATAGCCGGGGAACCAGGTATACCCTAGAAAGGAAGTCTCTAAGAAATACGCCTACAATTACATATATTATAAACTTAAACGCGTGATTGTGGAAAAAAATCAAGATTTGGAAAATAATTGACAAACCGCTTATTGTTCCATTCAAACTATTATTTTGATATTACAAACAAAAACTTCAATTATATTTATTTGTATAGATGAGAGGGAGGAGAAAAATTACCTTGAAATAACAAAATTACAGAATCTTTATTGGCTTACTACAGAAAACGGGTACAAGGATTCATAACCTAAATACGCACAATTTGTGGTTTGTTTTAGTATCCAATATTTAATTGGAACAAAAAACTTCAGGATACAATTATAGCCTCATTCTATTGGGGATATATGATTCTTCAGCTCCCAGCTGGATATTTAGTACACAGAGTTGGAGTAAAGAATTTACTAACTGGCGCCATGGCAACAAGCTTTGTGATTTTGACTGTATTGCCGACCGCTGCATATTACGTAAGTATAAATAAGATAAAAAAATCGTCAATATCAGAGGCAACATAGGTGTTTTTTTAATGTTTTTATTCATTCAATTTTATTTTTTTACTACAAAATCTAATGTGTTCCTACTTAAAACATTTATCAGTGTCATAATATTAAATTTGTTGCATGTCTTATAGCAATCAAATCACTTACCAACATTTTCAAATAAGCCAATTATGGAAAGAAACAAAAAGCACTAAAAAATTTTTGGTTGAAATTTACATATTTAAATTTTATGAATGAGGTTTTGTAGACTTTTAATTTTTATATATTATCGATTGTCACTTTCACTATTAAAACGAATTTAGTGACACATGCCAACATTTATGACGCCGTTACAGAGCGTGCCAAAGAAATACACATTCATATAATCGAAATTCATAACCCTTCTTCTAGTGCAGTCAGAAAAAATAAATACATCTTTATTTACGCCGTTACAGTCTTTATTTAAAAAGAATCTTCTCTAAATAAACTTTAAGCTAGAGGTATATGCTACATTCACAATATTTTAAGTCATATCGCGGATTTCGACAGTTGTAGACGTAACGTTACACCAAAATTTGTTGATTTAGATGCTAGGTCTAAGTTTCAAAGTTAATCCGAACTTGCGTGACTAGCTGCCACTCTAGAGTGAGTAATATTCAATGCTAAATGCATTTGCAGAACTTCAAAGTGCCTAGTGTGCATTTTAAATGTTCTTATGCTTACAACCGGACAGTCATAATACTGAAATGGTTTCTTTACAATTCGGTATTACAAGTGTTAAAAGAAAAGGGTAATATGTAGAAAAGGCAAATAAACAAAGAAAGAGATGGAAGATAGAATTTAAAAAAAATGCAGGTTAACGTATAAATAAAAGCAAGAATGAACCATGAATGAAAACAAGAACAATAATAAATGCATTAAAAAGAGAAAAACAGATACGCAGAAAATTGTATTTGTCTTTTTCAGGGTAGTTGGTATTGTACAGTACTATGCAGATTTACACAAGGTCTTAGTCAAGCGTGCCTTATACCTGGACTTCATTACGCTCTTGGGAAATGGGCACCACATCATGAAAGAGGAAGGTTAGGAGCTTTCGTCTATGGGGGTATGCATTTAAGGCACCATAAACAGCATCATAAAAAGTTCTATAACTTCTACATGTTTATGCTTTATTGCAGGTCAAGCTGTTGGAACTCTTTTAGGACTTCCAATAACGGGTTTTATATCAGCATCACCGATGGGCTGGCCTGGTATATTCAGATTTTACGGCATATTGTCAGGTTTAATGGCAGTAATTATATGGTTTTTGCTTTTTGATACTCCGGCAAAACATCCTAAAATATCTTTTCTTGAACAAAAATATATTGAGGATGATATTAGACCCAAAGAAGTAAGTTTGAAATTTTGGAAAACAGATTGATCAATAAAACAATTTATGTTTGGGAAAATATTAAACTTACAAAATAAAACCTGTTTTCAGAGAATCCCAGTGCCATGGTTAAAAATACTACGTCATAAAGGTGTTTACGCCATAATTTTTGCACAAATAGCTGGTGCATGGGGACATCTGACTTTGTATTCAGAAGTACCAGCATATATGGACAAAGTTATGAAAGTTAATATAAAAGCGGTAAGAAAATTTATTGAAATGTTAAAAGGTAAAATAAATTTGGTTCATAGTGTTGTACTAAGTTCGAGATGCCGATTAATAATCGCAGCGGGGACGTGAGTGGGGTGCTGCTAATGATTATAATTATTAAAGTAAATTGGAAATAACTTTAAAAGATGTTAGCTAAACTTATAAACTTATGTAAAAATGATATTTGTATCGTGTATTTCGCCCATTGTATCACTGTTTTTTTTTATGTATCATCATATTTGTTATGTATGTATTTATAGTATGCAATAAAGAGTACCTATCTATCTATATATTATTTATATATATTTTTTATTTATTTATTATATATATTAATTTGCTTTGTCTATTTGCTTCATTTGATTTTTAAATCCATTTTTTTATTTTCTTATGATGCAGATAGTATGTTATATAGTATACGATAAAAGATCAAAACTACACATCGCCTTAGTTGGCTCGAAATAGTTTACATTTACTAGGATTGTATAAAAATCCAAGATTTTATACATTTCCATTAAAATTCAAACTTTTTCCCTTCAGTATTTTTATGGACATATTTTTATTTTGTACCCACAGAACGGAGTGTTGACAGCTTTGCCATTTTTAGCTATGTGGCTTGCCAACTTTTTCTTCAGTTGGCTCACTGACTGGTTGATTATAAAGAATATCATGAGTGTTACTAACACCAGGAAATTCGCCAACTCTTTAGGTACATTTTGTTTTACAAATATATTGTTTAAATATAATCAGATATCTTTGTAATGTTTATTTTTGTGTGTTTCAGGTTACTTTCCAGCTGGCATTGGACTTATAGCTTTGGCTTATGTGCCTCGTAACATTTATTTTGTAGAGACACTGTTGGTTTTGATATGTGTTTTTAAAATATCAGCTCATTGTGGATACTTGGTATTGATGTCTTAATTAATATTTTTAATTTTGATATTGAACTGCCCTTTTTAAAATTAACCGCCAATAATAATTCATAACATTTGCTACTTATATTTAGGAAGTTTGATGATACTGATATCGTCATGTAACCTATATCTTCAGTTAAAAAAAAATGTGTGTGTGCCAGCTTTGACACACAACTGGAATTTACTCCTTACGAATGATTCAGCTGCACACACGTATACAAGATATACACACACATTACTAAAAAGTGAAACGTGCGCACGATAGGTTACGCACAAGAAAAGTTAACGAGGTCGTTCGATCACTAAATTTTACTCTTCATATTTTTTTCATACCGGACGCTTTTCAGAAAGTCGATTCTTAAAGAGTAAACTCCAAAAAAAGTTGGCCTTTTGATTAATTGTTCATATTGTATAGTCACTTGATTGTAAGAGAATGTCGCCGCAAATCAAAACACGCATTTATACTATTTATATTTTTTATTTATTTTTTCATTTATATTCTTTTACGAAATATTCACAGGTAAACCACATGGACATATCACCAAATTTTGCTGGCCCATTAATCAGTCTTAGTAACTTCGTATCGCACATGGGCACGTCATTGTCACCAATAGTGATTGCACATATATTAACCGATGCTGTAAGTTGATGTTTTAAACGATTCTGAGTAACGGCAACATTCCTTAGACATTGTTTATTGATGCATTTATAGTATTCCCTTTTGTCGAATGTATATATAGTGGAAGAAAAGAACTACAGAAGTATATTGGTATTAGGTTTAAACTGGCCTATTACAAAGATGCTTTAGAGCTGTAAAGTACAAGAAAATTTATAAGATTTTGCAAGAAATACGTTTAAACTATTGCTATTCTCTTGCTAATAATACAGAGATGTAATATAGTCTGAAATACACAGGCTACTTATAATGTAAAGAAATGAATGAACACGAAATAGTTTTTACAGAATAGCTGAAAGAAATAACGTTTATCCTTTTTGTCAAGTTCTTGAAAAACAAAAAAATATTTAAATTTATATTAAAATTGAAATTCTAAATATTTTACAGGAAGACAAGTACCTCTGGAGAAAGGTGTTCTTCTTAACAGCTGGAATTTATTTCACCATGAATACAATATATTTGTTATTTGGTACTGGTGAGAGAGCGGAATGGGATGATCCAAAGGTCGAACAAGAAGTGATAGAAGAAAACCTGTCCATGATTAACGCGTAATAAACTAAATTAGGTTCAGTTAATGAACATTGTGAATTTCTTTAGATTGCTTCTGAATCAGTGAACAAAGTTACTTTTGTAAAAATAAAATATTGGTTTGACCATCTGAACATTGTAATGTTCACCATCTGGTCAAACCAATCCGACTATCGAACCCTTTTTATAGGAACGGAAAGGGTTCGGTGATCAACACTGTAGAGTTGTTCATCAACCTATTGCAGTGCATTGCTGCACTTAAGCTTCTCCCAAAGAACGCGAAAGGCGGAGGACAGAGGGCTATATCCCTCTGTCCTCCGCCTTCTGCATAAAATCTACCCGGCAACCTTTCATTTACAATTTCGCGGTCTTCGCTCTAAGACACATTTGCTCCAAAGTGGTCACCTAGCAGATGGTCAACCCTTATTGCGAATTTTATGATTCAAAGAAATTCCAGGCATAGCTCAGCCCATTTTTTTATAGTCCTCTAGCAGATGGTCAACCCTTATTACGAATTTGTTCTATATCTGAATGTAATTTAACTATAATGATAATATAACAATTTAAGTGTTTATCAGCGGCTATTTCATAACACATGCTCTGGCTAGTTTGGGATCAGGTTGCTGTGTGAAGTTATTAATATTAATAAAAAAATACAAATATAATTGGTATTTTAATTAAAAATACCTATTAAGCGATCGCGTTAATTCTCGTACATAATTTAATAACGAATTGTTAACTATTAGTCGCATTGTAAACTATTAGTATTTTCCTTTCTCTTTATTATGTTTCTTCTGGTCCAATGCCCATTTAAAAATATGTGAAAAATATATACCTTAAAACATTGTTATGTAATTATATCAACAGTATTTTGTATTTTGCATGAAATTAACTCAACACAACGAAGGTGGCTGCATTGTTACCTAATCTTAGACTTAGGTTAATTTAGTTAATCTTTAAAGCAGTCCCTCATAATACTAACAAAGTTTAATTTTGTTATATCAAAGTGTAATTTTCGTCCCTTATCAGTTTCGGTACCTTCAACTATACCCTTGTTATTTTCTAATAAAGCAGAGAGGGTGTCTGGGATAATTTATGTAACAGATTCTATTGGTTATAAACTAGTTGTCTCTTCAAGGCTTCCTTGATGGGCTAGTACCCTACCATAGTTGGAGATTGTAAAAGGTTTACGACAAAAGCATCTCATTTATGAGCTTAAGGTGAGTGAGATTGATTAACTGTTTATAGCTTTTATATGAAATGTTAACAAGGTGAGAAACAAGGATAAAACATGTAGGTACGTGTTTGAGAGTGTAAGAGATGGCAAGTGACAGTCATTTTAATTGTTTCTTCTTTTGTATGTTGCAAATTAAACTGGCACATAACTAGGTTTAGTTGTCGTGCTATAATAGTCGAATATGGTTCTTTCGAATCGAAGACGGCTTTACTAAAGAGAACAAAGAAATGGTCTGACGTATTATGACTAACCTCTGACGCCCACCGTTTTAAGATCGGTATACCGGGGTCTCAGATGTCGAAGTCAAACCGAAACCAGGTAATAGACCAAGTCACAGTGGTTATCAGAAAAAAAAAAAAACCTGTCATGTATTTTCATAATGATTGACATTTAAAAACTCGAGAATGTCTGCAGCCGCTAATCAGTCTGTATAAAATGATTTTAGTATACCCCAGGCTTTCTTTAAGGCCGTTTCTAGTTTGAGTGAGATAGGAAGAATCATTCACAGATATATATTCACACGCGACAGTATATTACACAAATTGTGTTTTGAAAAGCGCACTTTAGTTATTATTAGAATATTGTGTAATTGGGTCACCGTTTTCCTTGCGGACAGAAGCATTAAGGTCGTTGTCGATGTTGCATGCTCCGACTTCAAATTCGTAAATGCTGGTGTCCCTCAAGGCTGCGTGCTATCACCGACACTATTTCTTCTGCATTAATCCGCATCCAACAAAGAGCGACTCGAATCGTCGATAGTCCAAACATCTACGATCGGATCGATCCCTTGGCGTTACGTAGAGATGTAGCTTCACTCTGCATTCTCTATCGCATATATCATGGAGAGTGCTCCGAGGAATTGTTCGGACTAATACCAGCCGCAAGTTTCCGCCTTTGTTCCATACGGCAAAATTTTCACCCTCATCACCTGTATAGTTGGCGCTCCACTATTGTGCGCTTTTCAAGACACTTATCGCACCGCACAACCAATCTGTGGAACGGGTTATCATCTGCGGTATTTCCCGACCGATACGACCTTCAAGAAAAGAGCGTACTCCTTCCTAAAAGGCCGGCAACGTGTTTTTTACTCTTGAGTTGCAGACGTTCATTTCCAGCGATGGTCACTTTCCATCAGGTGACCCGTCTGCTCGTCTGCCCCCTCTAACATAAGGAAAAAGAATAAAGCTACATCTCTAGGCAACGCCAAACCAATGAGCCGATCTATATATACCCTGATTCCACTCTACATTGAATAGGGTCTACAGAGGGAAGGTAATGAGTAATAAGTAATTATAAACTAATTAAATAAATGAATAACGAAAAAGATAAGAAAAGTATTTCAAATAAGGAAAGTTATCGCTTAGGGCGAAACATCTGTCCCTACTTAAGATAATCTGCTCATTTCTTTCTAATGAAAACTATTCCCAGCTGCTGCGAGCAAAAGTTTCAAATCGAATCATTGTATTTGCTACCGATAGGCAAAGAAAATAATTACTAGATAATTGGAAAATTGAAAGTAAATTTATAACCTCTTTTATTTCCTACGGCTTTGCTTATGTGAAAGTGTCTTTCAGGAATTCTGGTACAAAAGTTATTTATTAATGAAAATAAGTATAATAATAATTTCACACATCTCACACACTATGGTAACCAGACTGCTGATAAACATACTTATATATTTCTACATATATACATATTATAGATAAAGTACACCAAGGCACAGAAAAAGTGACAGTGCTCACACAATTATTTATCCTGGGTGGGAATCGTACCTCCGACCTCTAGTGTAGCAGTCAGGGTCACTAACCGCTAGACCAACAGTCCAGTCAGGCCAGTATCCGTTTTATTCTGCTGTACTCCGGACAACATATCTGTTAAATTGTTATGATGATTGGTTAAGTGGTTAAAGTGTAATAGCTTTTACTTTCAGCCCAAATGGACCAGGATTAACCAGAGTGATACCACGGTCTCACAGAAAACAGATGTTAAGAAATTCTAGACTACTGACCAGTACCGGCCGCAATTTTCCGCCATCGTTCCACACGGCAAAAATTTTATTCCTCCACCTCCACCGATGTTCGTTTTTCAAGACACTTTTTACCTCGCACAACTAATCTGTGGAACAAGGTATCGTCTGCGGTATTTCCGGACCGATACGACCTTCAAACCTTCAAGAAAAGAGCATACTCCTTCCTAAAAGGCCGGGAACGCGTTTGTGAGTCGAGTCGCAGACGTTCATGGGCGGCGATAGTCACTTTCTTTCAGGTGGCCCATCTGCTCGTTTGCTCCTTCTTCCATAAAAAAAGGGCTGTCACGCATTTGTGACCCTTAGGTCTCAGGTGTTCATAGGCAGCGGTAGTAATTTACCCTTTTTTTTTCCGTGTGGAAACCCCCTCGGATACCACCTATCGGGGGCATGTCGGACTCGAACCGACTAAAACCGCACGCCGTCTAGGGTACTAATAGCCGGGTAGTAATTTACCCTACAACTTGGTGACCCGTCTGTACTTTGCCTTCTAATCCAATGAATGCAAACTTAAGAAAGTTTTTTTTATAACTATTATGGTTCTCACAGTTTTTCGGTCAATAAATACAAATCATAAGTAGACTCGCAACAAAATGGTTTCTCGTAACAAATTTCTGTATCACCCAAATTCCTATCACCAGTCCAAAATGAATTCAGTCTATCCAAAGGTTGCTTGGAAGAATGACTCTAAGCGATAATGCCGCAATTTGTACATTATTTCTGTTGTTCGTTTAATTACTTTATAACGTCTGTAAAACCCTGGTGTACAAATAAAGTATTTTCTACCTGTCTATCTAATTTGGTATCCAAAGAATGCAAACTTAAGAAAGTCGAGTCTACTCTAATGCTTTTTATTAATTGCCCGAACAGCTGTGAGAACCAGTGTACGTTACCTAAATCTACGATAGATAATACGGGTCGGGACGGGAAACAACTGCCACATCTAACGAACAATATCAATTTTCTTGACCGAAACTAAATATTTCTTGAAGGAATTGCCCGCGGCTCCACCGGTGTTTCGGTTATGTCGTTTAAAAAGTAGCCTATGTCCGTTATCAAGAATCAAACTATCTCCATATCAAATTTCATTTGAATAAGTTCACGGTTATTGATTCATACAATACACACTTGTATGAATATATGAAGTTGTATGAATATATGAACTTGTATGAATATATGAACTTGTATGAATATATGAACTTGTATGAATATATGAACTTGTATGAATATATGAACTTGTATGAATATATGAACTTGTATGAATATAGCTATGAATCAATAACCGTGATTCATACAAACTTCAACCTCCCTTTTTACCCTCTTAAAGGATGATTTTTGGGATAAAACCTATATCTCTTTCCCAGATTTCATCTAAATAGGTTCAGGGGTGAAGAAGTAACAGACAGACAGAAATACAGACAGAGACGCTTTCGCTTCACTTTCACTTTATAACATTATATTAGTATGGCTTTTGTTCCATGACAATTACTGCATTCATCAACAGCCTTTAATAGTCCACTGCGGAACATAGGCCTCTCTTTAGAAAGGAGGTTTTGGCCGACTACACCACGCTGGCCAGACGGGTTAGTATAGGCTTTGTTTCAAGTTTTCCTTCTCTCTGCATTGTTAGAGTCTTTTTATATAGTTCATAAAGTGACTAATTGTAATTCGTAACAGCGCTAGAAGTACCTCCAGTAAATGAAAAGTTGTGGAGTAATAGGTTATCATGGCATGGATATGTGATGCGTAGATATGACCAAA